TCTTCCAGGGTTGTGTGGAAAAGAAATTGTTGTTGGATGCACAGAGACCAGCTTTGAAACACGGACTTCTTAACAGGACACATTCAGTGGAAAATGCAAAATGTGTACATGCTGTTAAAGGACCTGGGGTTGGCAAATTGAGTCTACAATGCTAATAGACAGACCCACCGACAGGGGCCAGAAGGGAAAGTTGCTCTGCAACTCTGGCAGCAGCAATGGCCAGAGCACAGGGCCCTTGAATTTGCTGCTGGAGCACCACACCATGTGCTCCACGTGGCTTTAGGGGGAGAGGCATTGCACTCCGGGCAGTGTGAAGGGCTGCTGCCCCCATCCCCTCTCCTTCTGCCTAAGGCCCCGCCCCTTCTCGGAGTGTGGAGCAGAGTTCCCACCTCATCTTGCCCAGGGACCCGTGGAGGCATCACTGCTAAGAGAGATTTAGGTGCCAATTGCAAGGTAACAGGTTTTAGTTTTCCAGGCTGAAGCTGGTTAACATTTGATTCTGTATGACGGATAAATTTTGAATGCTTTCTAAAACAGATACATTCCCTGAACGACTTTCTTGATACTGTTGCAAAAAACAACAACCTCCATCATCAAACTATGATTTGTTTCCCTCACCATTTGCCAAGAAGCTGTTAAGCTTGTAATTCCAGAGATAGATTAAGATCCAAAAAGCAGAAACAGACTCTTTCTATGGCCTGAAATCCAGTATTTACTTGTACAAAATTCAGCACAAAATCAAACAGTGCACAACATAGTGCATGAAATACTAAAAAGGCACATAAAACTGCACACATCCATTCTTTTTGCATACAGTCATAGCAATGAAGTTTGCATCACAGTGAAAACCTTAAGAATGATTTGATTTTTGATCTATAGTTTCATATGAGCTAGAATGGAATACATTCCATTCCATATTACAGACACAATTTAAAACAATTGGTTATACTGGGCAAAACATAATTCCCCAAGGTAAGCATGTTCACTTAGATATATTTTTCACTGGTGAAAAGACACAGAAATTATAGGTATAACAACCTTCTGGGTTTTTATGGTCATTACTAATGGTCTGAAAAACAGGGACAGCCTACAGAGGAAAATTGTAAAAAATTAGATGTAGTAGCAATAGTGATTTTATTTCCCTCAGCATAATTCCCTGCTAACTATCTAAACTTTAGTTGAATAAATTCTCCATAGGCGAAGAGTGACTGTCATCTGAAACACTCATACCAACAACTGCCTCTGCTCTTTGTACCTAGGAGTATCAGTGAACTGGTAACTGATCTTAATTCTGCCTCTTACCTTTAACATTTAGCTTCCTGAAACAAAACACAGATTGTTTCTTTAGCTGCAGAGGAAATGACAACACAAGGAAAGAAATGACTACCCAGACAAGATTTTGAGTAGTGTCTAATTTTTGGGGGTGTTTCCACTTTGGTTTTACAGGCTGAATACAAAACTGGGATGCAAGATTTTCAGTGGTAACATGGACACCCACTGCAGTCTTGGGCAAATTACTTAGATCTCTTTCGTTTTGGGTACATCTAGACTGCAGGCTTCTTCCGAAAGAAGGTTTTTCGGAAGAGATCTTCTGAAAAAACTTCTTCCAAAAGAGTGCGTCCACATTGCCAAAGCACATCAAAAAAGCTATCTGCTTTTTCGAAAGATAGAGCCCACACTGAATGGATGCTATCTCGCATTTAAGTTGTGATTACTATGGATGGAGTGGCTACCAGGGCACCCATGCTTTTTCCTGGAGGCCTCTTCTTTCGAAAAATCTCTCTCTTCCATGTCCACTTGCACCTTTTTCTGAAAGAGCTCTTTCGGAAAAGGCATTCTTCCTCTCCTCATAGAATGCAGTTTACTAATGTCGGAAAAAACTTTTGAGTTTCTTTCGAAAGAATACAATAGCACTATGGATGTAAGTGACGTTTTTTCGGGAAAATGGTGGTTTTCCCACACAAAAAGCCTGCTTCTAGACGCACCCTTAGTTCCTCTATATCTCCCATTGTTTGGGTGGATTCATAGGAACACAGGACACTATCTGACACCATGATATTGGTCTCTCTAGTCTACTTTCTCCTTTCTCCACAACTGACCATTAACCAGTACTGTATGCATTAGAGGAAGATTCAAGAAACCTAAAACTGAACAATTATAGACTGACTTGCTTGCATGGGAAGTTTCTTCCTGACCGTAAGCATTTAGTGGTCATTGTAGGTGCTGAAAAATGAGAATGTATATCTGTTACACATTTTTAACCCAGCGAGATGGAGATGATCATTCACTCTGTATATATTACAATAGACACTGACAAATTCTGACTGCAGTATCCATGTTTCATAATAAGCATATTACATTATGTTTAATGTGTAATGTTTGTAAAGTGTGTGGTGCTGGCAAACCAGGTGTCAGCTCTTGCCAAGACTATAGGCACTAGCTAAGAAATAACAAACCCATCGCTGGAGACCAGGCTAGTTGACCTGCTGGTTAGTTTTGCTCAAAGCAGGTATTAGGTTTTTAAGAATGTATTTTGTGTTTGGACTCTGGACTGCTTGTAGATTGATGCATGCATTAATCTCATTTGCAACATGGCTATACCAGGCTATAAGAAAATATGGACATTTTTTTTTATAACTTTAAAAACATTTGGACTGACCTTGTGAACTCAAACAGGGGAATCATCCTCCCCTCTTCCCCCATAAGGAACATTGCAATACAAAGAGTTGCAAAATGACCGCACCTTGGTAAATGATATGTGCAAGGAAGTGGAAAAAAGGAAATAAAAAAAGCAACAGGAAATTTTTTTCCAGCTCTTTGCTGTTGGAACTCTTGACAGCACTAGAAATCCCAAGCTAAAACCAAAGATGAGTTACCACCTGGGTAACACCTATAAGATACTTTGAATCAACAGATCACTACTCTTCTGTCGGTCAAGATTTAGAAAATACATTCGATGACAATATGTTCACATACTTTCATTTGTAAATAATTCATTTCTTTTTCCTAGTTAAACAAGCCTTTAGGTAGTTTATCACAGGATTGTATACAGACATATTTGGTGTAAGATCCAGATACCAACTAGTCTGGGGTAAGTATCGTTGGACTGGAAGCAACATGAATAGGGTGTGATTTTTGGTGCAAATAACCATTTGTCACTAGTGTCTGGGTGACACACTAGATGGGAGAGTTCAAGGGAAATGTCTGTGACTCCATAGGACCAGTGTTATAGTGTCCCAGGAGCTGATGTGTATTACTGGCTTGGTAAAATATATATGATAGAACACGCCACCAGTTTGGACGTCTGCCCTTTTTTTGACAGTCTTCCCTGAGGTAGGCACTCACAGGCATGAGCCAATCCAGACAGTGTGACAAAAGGTTTGGAAGAAGAAAGCTGTTGGCATAAGGTTTTCTATTCATTCACTTTGCATCTTTGTCACGGATAGAATGCTTCTGTCATTTAGTGCCCCCATCTTTTTAGACTTAAACGTGAGGAGTAAAAATGTATCTAAGCTGCCAGTGTGTATTGCATCTCCTCCCCTCCCGTGTGTTTAACACTCTCTCAGTCTGACACTTTCCAATTACCTCTTGGCCTTTTCTGTTTCCCGAGTCTGGCTCCTATTTCTCTGAGTTTATATCTCTGTGTAGCTGTTAACCAACACAAGCAGTTAAGGGCATAGGAATAAATATACAGCACTAACCCACATGTTGGTTAAGAATGCCAGAAATCAAGATACTATGCAACTCAACAGTTCTCTGATAAAACTGAGTGGAATTTTTCAAAAATTACAACATTTCAGCCAAAAAAAAAAGGAGGGGGGAGTTAGCACTAAAATGTTTACAAAAAAGATTTTGCATTTTCTAATAATTTCTATTCACAAGAAAAGAAATTGATTCCAATTTTGAGAGGTATATGAAGAAAACACACTTTAGGTGTGTGTGTGGGGGGGGGTTCCCCAGTTTTCTCCTTTGCTATTAAATAGGAAAGTGCCATACTACACGCATATACCTATCTAATCTTGAAAATAAATAAAATACTACCACGGGAGGAGGGATGGTTGGTCTTCTTCTTAAAAACACTGAATTGGGACTCATAAAATTTGGTTCCAAATCCTTGTTCTGCCACAGATTTCAATGCCATGCAGTTCAGACTACAGGGCATATAAATAGCACAGCAGACCAAAGTGCTGCACTGTCACTCCCCCAAGCGGATGCTGCAGGCACAAACTAAAAGGTCTCTACCTTGCAGACTATAATAATGCAAACTAGGATAATGCTTTCAGTTTAGTTCATTCCCACAGTAACTGCAGGGATTTACAGTTCAGCATTTTGGTATGCTTTACTATTTGCATTCCCTATAATATGAATGTCAGGATAGTGTGGTCAGACTCTTAATCTCTGTGTCTCAATTCCCTATCTGTAAAAACATGGGCAGGCCCACCAACAGAGGAAAAAGGGTGGGGGTGTTAATGGGGAGAATTTCCCAGGGTCCGTAAAGGTACTAAGCAGTGGCTGAGCATGGGTATAACATTACCCTACCCTGTTGGAGTGTTGTGAGAAGTAACGAATAAAAACTTTGGAGGTGTTCATGTATTATGATAACAGCTTCCATAAGAGTAGATGGATTAAAGCTACATCAAAGCCAGGAAAAATATAAATATTTCTCTAGCAAAATGGAGAGCCATAGTCAATCATTCTGTCTGGCCTACAGGAGGTATAATGAGAAGAAGCAAAGTCACTTAAACTAGTCATAATCAATGACACATTTTATAAGAAAGTCATACAAATATTAATGACACAGACTTCAAAGTCAGCTTCCTGATATCAAATCCTATTATAATCACTGATGCTTAAAGAGCACTTATAATCCCACCCCCTCCTCTCCAAGCTGTAGGCAAAATCTTGACATCCTTTCTCAGCCATTGAAAATCAGTGGATCTATACCTGTGATACACTCAGCACCTGCTATTTACTGGATTATTATTTTAAAGAACACTTACCTTAATGTAAACTGATCTTCTAGGGAGTCACCGGTAAGGGAGACATAAAAGGTTACAATGTCACCTTCCTTGACAGGGTTGAGCGGTAAGTGGATTATGATATTCTCATCCAGCCTCAGGGAAGACTGTTTTAGTTTGTCTTGAGTTGGATAAACAATGATGCTACCAATCCTCTCCACAGATGGCAAAGCCTTGTGTGCAGTATCTTGACCTGCCTGTATGTTGTTTTCCCATTTGACTTCCTTGGGAGAACACTCCCCATCTGTTGCATACATCTTATAGAAGAGCTCCACTGTAATGCCTTCCAACAAGGCTGCAGTTTGCTCATGCTCCAAAACCAATGGTGGAGGTGAGCTGAACCAACTTGGAGCTAATTCCAGTTCTGCAACACATAACCCTAGATGACCTCCCAACCTACAGCTGGCCACAGCTTCTCTAGTCTCCAAGAAAGCAAACATCTTCACACAGGGTAATCTCTCTGCAGAATCGTAGTCCTCCCAGTCCTTTCCTGCAATATAGAACAAGGCTTGCACTTTAGGCCTGTTGGAATATACTGAGCTGTCAATTATGTGTGATTTTAATTTCCAATTAAATGTGAATTCATTAGCAAAGCCAAAAGGAGAAGAAGTCAGCATGAGATCCTCAGGAATAGCTTGTTCTACTGAAAAAGGTCCATAAGTGGCATTTACTACAGGTTGCTGATTGGCTTTGTATATAAAGAATGACTCTACCCTAGCCTGCAAACTGGAGTTCCTCATGATATCTTGATTGGCTTCTTTGAGGAAAAAAGAAACATCAGCACTGGAGATGTGATGGCAGGTTTGAAAATCTCTGTGTGCTGTCCATGACTCCTCCTCGGTTTTCCACCACTGCAAGCCAAATGAAAAAAGAAAAAAAAATTATAATATTTACTTAGCAATTTTTCTTCAGTTCTCCTCAGAAGCTATTATTTCAAGTTACTCATTATTGTTTGTCACCATTACAAAGCATTTAAATATTGTCACCGTGCAGGTAGCATTGCTCTCTACTAGCCTACCATGCCGATATTTATCATTCCATTATTCCTATAGTGCCCCATATAAAGTTTGTCCTAAGGCCTTGATCCAAAGCCAACTGTAGCCAAGTCAGTTCTGGATCAGGCACTAGTAGAAGAGAGTCTGGGTTCTGCAAAATCTTATTAGTTGGATTTTAAGTTTGCACTACCATATCAAACTCATGAGTTCTGCAGATCTATGATCAATGTACAACTACTGCAGTTTGGGGAAATTAAAAGGGGCTAGCTGACAACTGGGAGGCCTCCCGTCGCCGTGATGGCTAGTACCAGTAATTGACATGCCTGCACTGTCACAGGAAAGGAATCTTCGCCCATCACTTACCAGAGGTGCCCATTGTCTGCATTTTCCCAGGTGTGAATTATGCTTTGCACCCTTTGTGGGAAACTTGGCATTCAAAGCCATTTTTCCTAATTGGCCACTTGAAACCAGGAAGAAGCCTACATGACCCAAGGGGTATAAAGAGGGGTTTAGTAGCCCCATTTGAGCTCCAATCATCTATACCTGCTGGCAGGTATTGATTGTCTCCCGAGGTCTGTGGGACGCCCAACCTCGCCCTACTTCTTCCCGAGGGATTGAGAGAAAGACGCTGGCCACGCCAAGTCTGGAACGCAGGGGTGAGAATATATACCTGCTATGTGTATTTTGCATGCATTTAATAAGAGCTCAAAAAAACCCAAAATTTGAGCTCCAATCATCTATACCTGCTGGCAGGTATTGATTGTCTCCCGAGGTCTGTGGGACGCCCAACCTCGCCCTACTTCTTCCCGAGGGATTGAGAGAAAGACGCTGGCCACGCCAAGTCTGGAACGCAGGGGTGAGAATATATACCTGCTATGTGTATTTTGCATGCATTTAATAAGAGCTCAAAAAAACCCAAAAGGGTTTCATGGTACCTATAAGTGACTTATTAGTGTAATTTCTGTCCTGTCCTTTGTAGTGTCTGTGTTATCTGTAACACAGTAGTAGCATTTAACAACTAAGTTTACCCTGTAACAATAAACAGTAACTGTTTAAGCTTTAACCTAACTCCTTCAGTTGCTGTAACAGAACCAAGCACAATTTAAAAGAACTTCAGCCGGTCATAAGGGACTCACTGCCCTGACTGTCGGCTGACAACAGGAAAAGTCAGAATATTTAGGGATTGCAAATCTGCATCAGTGCTGATTTGGTTTTACAGATTATGACTAGGAGCTGTTCAGATATGGGTTCCATTTAGAACTGGTTTGAAGTATTTTGATGAAACACTTTTTACAATTGAAATATTCACATTTGTGAATTCTCAGGGAGGCTTCAGTGGAATGGTCTCTCAGATCTAGGGAGAAAAAGCCTGACCTTTTCAATAAAAAAACAGATACTCTGACATAATTCAATTTCAAAACATTTTTCCAAAGGGTTTGGTTTTTTTCCAGTGAGGAAGGAAAACAAAATTTTAAATCCCTGCAAGTTGTCATAAATTGCCTCTGCCCAGCTCTAATCCCATTTTTTTTCCTACCACAAAACATTCCAGGAGTAAAGGGGGAGGAGGGAGACAGGAAGAGACATAGACTACAAGGTCTTGATTTGGGTTCATCTTTAATGAATAGTGAAGTATAATCCAAATGGACTCTAATACTAAAAGGGGGATAATAATGTGTTCTATATTAACATTTTTTGTTTCATGGCAAAAGTGCAGTAAAAGTTGCTTCTCTGGGAATCATACCAAAAACAAACAGAATTCCAACTTTTTAAATACTTATTAAGCAGCTCTATAATGTGAAGAGATAGCAGGAACAATAACAGTTTCTAAGGTCAGACTTCTTGAAGTCCATATCTAAATCTCAAGGTGCAAATTTAATGTTTGTCATTTTTAGTTTACAGAAAGTGCACAATGTTACAGTGACAGCAACAATTACACCTGATACATGAGAGATGACTCAGATACTGTCAGCCAAAATTTAGCATCAATAAGAGCTGTAATATTTAAGCTGCCCTTTCAAGCTATGTCTTTAACAAGGCTACATTTCTTGAAGATATGTTATAAGGCAAATTTCAACATCTATTTGCCCTTGACTTTGCTGCATTCTTGTTCTCTTTTAAAAATTCCACTCAGTTATTTTTGTTTGCTTGATGTTTCCCTGTTGCTTATTTAAATCCCTCTCCTAATTTATTATAACATTTCTTCTTTTTTTTTTTTTTGTATTTTAATTTTTTTTTACTGTTGTCACCAAATCACTTTTCCTCTGAAGGTACAAGAAAGTATGAAAACATAACAACATTCATTAGCAAAACACGACATTTAAGAAGAGCATCCTCTCCTCCACTTTCATGCACACTATTTAACTGAAATACTACCAGGAGTGCAATATATATATATATCTATATAGCAACACTATGGGTTTAACTGTGGCTTTGCTACAAATTCCAAGTAAGGGACAGGGGAGTTGTGCTGCTCTGAAGCCATATTGGGACTCAGAGGACACTTCTACACTGCAGTTGGGAGATATGACAATAGCACTCATAACACACCCAAGCCAGCTTTGATTCAACTAGTTTCTAAAAATAGCATTGTGGCCACAATGGCACAGGAAACAGCATAGGCCAGCCACCCAAAAGTACACAGAGAATGGATTATTTCCCGTGGTAAACCAGCCCATCCCTTCCCAGCTACATACATGATGCACAAGAGGGGAAGCCTGTGCCAGAGAAGTTGGGGGAAATCCTAGCAGCTCCTGTGGGGAGCACAGCCAGAGTCACAATCTAGCTCTTCTGTTGTCAGTCATCTTGGGGACAAGAAAAGGAATATTAACCATTTCACTTCTGCATTTCTCTTTTTTAGGGGGTGAACCAAGGGGTAGTCAAGCTGTTCCCTGAGGCATGCAGCGCATGAAGAAAATAGTCTTCAATGAGAACTCACAGGCTAGGCTGGGTGCAAAAGCAGCTGTGGGAGATGATAGGATTTGGAGGGGTTCTAAAGTAGTGTGGGATAGAGCAAGAGAGGCAGGCAACAAAGGAAAAGGCACCAACCCAAGGAGAAGCAATATGGGGTCATGGGCAACAGATGCCAATATGCAAGGTAGCCTAACAGAGGATTTGCAGCTGTCTGTCAGTCATGCCAGATGGGATAGCCAGGCGACCATCAGAAGGTGAGGGAGGAATGCCAAAGGCAGCCTGGAGAATACAGGGAATCTGCAGAGTCAACTAATGAGACAGCTCAGTGAAAACAAGAGGAGATCAAGCAGGAGTGACAGTAGACCCTTATGATTGCTACGGAATTGGAAAGCAAAAAACATTTCAGGGCCTATTGGTGCTTTCTGGGTTGACTACCACAGTATAAATAGTGTCATTCCTGTGCCTAACAAGAAATCTCTTTGATAATCATATTGCAGGGTTCATCATGTCTTACTTAGAGTAGGAAATTCAGAAAAAAACAGTTTCCAATGATCGGTAGTTCTAAAGCCTAGCCTAGTTACCAAGGAATGTTTTAGCAGCTCCATTATGGTCCTGCTATTTATAGAGTACCTTGACACAGCAAGACATGCCATGGCAGAAACTGAAATTGCAGATTTCATTTGCTGCCAGTGAACTTTGTTCTTGTGAAAGCAGTGGGGGAGTATTGTTTGTTTCTTTGACGACAAGTCAAATTTCAGACACGTGCCTTCGATGAACTCACTGCAGATCTATCTGGCTACATCTGAAGGCAATACTTTTAAGAAGGCTCATTCATCATAAAATTATTCAGCTGTACAGATAATAAGCCAAGGACATACAGCAACACGGTATACTCTGATTTCCAGTAGAGGTATTAAATTTTGCCTTCTCCCAAGAGAAACCAGATTTGTGGGGAGACTTAGCCACTGGTACAATTCCAGGGACTAAAGAGAAATGGGGAAAGAATATGAGGCTTTAATATACTGACATTTACATTACAGTGAGTTTTATCACCTTTTTATGCAGATGTTTTATTTCTCTCAAATATTGATTTACGGGAACTTTAAAGGTATGTCTCTCCTCTTCTCTGATTTCATTATAGTGGTGGCAGTTAACGTATCCTCTGACACATTGGTGTGAAGCCTAGGATGCTATCCTGCTATAATTCATACAAAATGAGACAATTTTTGTCTGAAAGCTTATACGGGAAGCCATAAACTCCAATAGAAAAGGCTAGGTTTTGTCCCAAAACCATCCTGAAACAAGATATGATATGTGAATTTAGCATCATTTTATAAGGCTGTCTGGACATCTAAAAGAAATACATCAGACCACAACAGGACAACACCCCTCTGTTTTAATTTCAAGAGTCAGCATGGTAGCATCAATCATTTTACAGCCACACTCAGAAATGGGACTCTGTTCCAGCTACAGGAGTTGTGACAAAACAACTATTAAATCATCTATTCTTTAAACAACGGCATCAGTAAACGCAGGTAAGGAGAACATTATTTGGTCCATTTTAAAGTAGTGAAACAAAGAAGAGCAATGATGGGACAGAACTAGAAGAGCAACAGGGAACCCAAGTGAATTTCACCAGAGCAGTGTGTTATTTCAAAGCCATGGTAATGTCCAGAGGAGCCTATAGGATCACCAGGACTCTGGGCAATAGAAGGAGCAGGAGATTAGGGGAGGGGGAAAAGAGAATGTTCTCAGAAGTGGCAGGGTCTCAGGTGGGGGGAGAGGGGGCTTGGCTGGGGTAGCTGGCTCTCAGCATCTCGCAGACAACCCCTCTCCCAGCTGGCCCTCAGGCCCTGCCCGAGAGCACCACGCAGGGCTCTGGAGTGCACTGCCTGGTGTTCCAGCAGCGATTCTAAAGGGCCTGGGGCACACATCTGCTGCTGCTGCCACAGTAGTGGTGACCTAGAGTCTTGGGCCCTTTAGAACCATCAGGCCACAGGGCAATTGTTCCTTTTGCCCCCCTGTTGATAGGGCTAATAACGTTCTCCTGGTACTAGCAGTAGGGAAGGGACAAGGGAGAAAAGAAACGTATACAAAGACCACACAACCATTCCGCTAAAATCAAAGGTGACCTGTGATTTTCAGTGCCCAACCTGAGATTCCTTAAAAGGGATTGATTTTCTTGCACAGGTCAAGATGGGGCACTGGAACAATTTTTATAGAGAGGTACAGAGAGCCATTGAACCAAATTGAAAAACCCTACATATGAGGGAAATCAAGCCATGGGGTGCAAGAGCAGCCCCAGCAGGGTGATTCCTTACCTGACGTTCATTCCCAGCTTCTGGCACAGAGACATCATGCTTGTCCATCAGACATTGATGAACCTAACCTCCATAAATTTATCTAGCTCTTTCTGAATGTTTTTATACTTGTGGCTTTCACAACATCCTTTGGCAAAGAGTTTCACAGGTTGATTGTGTGTTGTGTGAAGAAATATTTCCTTTTATTTGTTTTAAGCCTGCTACCTATTAATTTCTGGTGATCTAGTCCTTGTTTAATGAGGAGAAATAAATAGTACTTCCTTATCTACTTTCGCTACATCAGTCATAATTTTATAAACCTTAATCATAGTTCTGCTTTGTCTTCCCTTTTCCAAGCTGAAAAGTCCTAATCTTATTATTCTCTCCTCATACAGAATCCGTCCCATACCCCTAATCATTTTGTTGCCCTTTTTGGAACTTTTTCCTATTCCGACCTCTTTTTTTTGGTTGGGGCAATCACACCAGTACACAGTATTCAAGATGTTGGGGTACCATGAATTTATATAGAAGCACTATGATAGTTTTTGTCTTATTTCTGTTTCTTTATCTGTCTTATTACCTATATTCTTTTTTAATGATTCTCAACATTCTGTTAACTTTTTTGACTGCTGCTGTATGCTGAGTGGATATTTTCGGAGAAACTCCAAGATCGCTCTTAAGTGATAAAACCTAACTTAGATCTACAGTTGTAGATTGTATATCTACAGTTCCAATGTGCATTACTTTGCATTTATCAAACATTTGATCGTCCATTTTCATCAGTCACCCTTAAGAAATCCTTTTGTAGCTCGTTGCAGACTGCCTGGAACTTAACTATCTTGAGTAATTTTGTATCATCTCCAAATTTTGCTACCTCATTATTTACCATTTATTTCAGATCAGACTCCTTGGGGAAAACCACTAGTTACTTCATTCCATTCTGAAAAATGACCATTTATACCTACCTTTTGTTTCCTATCTTTAACCAGTTATCAATCCATTAAATGATCTTCCCTCTTATAACATGGCACCTTACTTTGCTTGCGAGCCTTTGGTGAAGGACTTTATTAAAGACTTTCTGAAAATCTAAGTACACTTTATCCATTGGATAGCCTTTGTCAACATGCTTGTTGACCCCCTTGGAGAATTCTAGTAGACTGGTGAGGCATGATTTCCTTTTATACAAACTATACTGATGCTGCCCCAACAAATTATGTTCATTCACAAGTCTGACAATATTGTTCTTCACTACAGTTTCAACCACTTTGCCTGGTACTGAAGACAGGTTTACAAGCCTATAAGAGCCCTTTTAAAACATTGACATCACATTAGGTCAGTGGTTCTCAAACTTTTTGGTCCATGGCCCACCCCACTATATGTAAACCTAGCCATGGACCACCAGCCAACCAACCATGACAAAATGGGTGCAGGAGGGAGGAGGGGCATGCAGAGTCTGGGCCAGAAGTAGGGTGTAAATAAGCCTGATGGGGTAAAGAGGGAAATGGCTGGCCAGCACCCTGCCACCAGCCCCAGCACCCTGTCCCTACTCCCACCAGCACTCTGTCCCCTACTCCAGCACCCACCATTACCCTATTCCATGGCCAGCACCCTACCACCTGCCCCAGCACCCTGTCACCTTCCCCACCAGCACCCTGTCCCAGCACCCACTAGCACCCTGTCTCTTGCCCCAGCAACCACAGGCACCCTGTCCCTGCCCCAGCACCCTACCAGCTTCCCCAGCATCCTGTCTCCTGCCCCCGGACCCAC